GTTCTAATCGAATATTTAAATGATGTCACCACTTCACCAGTGGATAGTTGTAGGGGAAAGATAAGATTAGTTTGTTCCTTTAGTTTCATATCATTTATTAAATGACTAACAACTGTTAGTGTGTATCCCTATTATCTAGTTATACTTAGCTACCCATAACATAACCAACATTCTCGTTTCTTTCATCGTTCATAGACTTCTTTTTTGAGGAGAAAATCGTCCAATGACTTCTCCCGTCCGGATGAGAAGAAGTGTCAGATTCTTACTGACTAAAAACCACCCCGTTCCTACTCCTGTACTTTGAGCCGGAGCCCCAGCACGGGTTGCTAAGTCTTCAGCGGCTCTGTATCGGCATCAGCCCTAATGGGCCCCATCATTGGTGGCCTGATGTCTCTTTGAAGACGCCGTAGCCTCTCAAGCCGCTCCTCAAAGAGGGGACTTACCGCTGCTGTGACAGAGAGCCCAGCCCCCGGTTGCGACAGTCGTTGCTTACTTGTAACAAGGAGTTAGAATAGAAAATGAGCTTGTAAGTTGGTCCTTTATTACATTGGGCTCAGGGTTTTGCGAAAACGGAGGCTAGTTGACTACTACATTTTGCTTTATGGGTACTAAATAAAATACCTAGTTTTGTGATTACCTACATATAGGATAAGGATAACATCCTAATTAGGTACTTATCCTTGCATAGGCATTCAGGGGAAACCCGGTAGTTACATGACGCATAATCTAGCATAGATCATAATTATGAGTTATTTACTTAGTTATCAAGTTATAATGTTGCAAGAAGTTAACTATAGTCTCCGATTTAGTTCGGATCGGATGATAACGTATCGGATTAATATTGTGTAATGAGTCAAGAGTCTGACACTCCTTCCCGCCTCATCCAGGACCTCATCCTAAAAAAAGGTTGTTTATCTTTATATATACGTATAATTCTTATGTGAGTGTGTATGTCACTGAACTTCTCTCAAACGGCTTGACCGATTTAAATGAATTTTTCTGTATGCGTTTGAGTGGCGCCCTGGATGGTTTAGATTCACAAATCAGCCCGGCAGTTGGAGCTGCAGTCGGAGTCTAGGTTATTTATCCAGTCTATATTATATATTTTAACAGGTAATATCTTTGTCAAAAATCTAGTAGGCAGTTAATTGATTCGTACTTGTACTCGTATTACAAGATTATGCTTTGATAACAAATCAGTCTGCACAAAACAGGATTTATGTATAGATAATATGTCGAATGTGATAAATTAGAAGTACCTACCTATCATTATGGTAACCAATCATACATTTTAAACTCATTTGCATGTCTATTCACTCAGTGAAGACATGAATTTATTCGACGGTTAAAGAATTCACATGAAAAGTTTGGTATCAGGTATAAAATCAATTAAGAAATTGTGTAGGTATTTGTTGCAATCGATTTATTCGTAAATAGTTCAAATTATGAACTACGAAAGACATTTCTTTTTTTTACAATGTTAATCTCTTGAACTACTAGCCTGATTATTATTG